AGATAATCCATCACTCCTGTACAAGTTCAAATTGAAGCTGAAAAAAATGAAAGCAAGTCCATGAGAACTAACATAAGACCATGAGTCTCAACCAGATTTAAAAACCATCTCAAAAATTGATTTGATCTTTTGAACTGAAAATAAGATGAGTTTTGGGATATCATCCATGAAGAAACAAAAGTTACAAAGACAGGAAGGAAAGAAAGGATGTTAGGAGAGACTCGGAAAATTGCACCAAAACATAAAGAAGTCAAAACAAAGCATTGAAATACTGAAATAAGAGAGCTGAACAGAAGATTCCAAAAGGCAGGTGAGAAGACAAAGCAGAGAATTATAATAAAATATGCAAAGAACTGAGTTAGAAAACCAAAATGGAAGGACATGATCTGCATTTCTCAAGCAGAAAGAGCTGAAGGAAAAATTTCAAGTCTTAGTTTCAATACATATGGATTTTATGAACAAAATATTTTTTATATTTTTCATTTTAAACTGGTTTGCTTACAAAATTCATATACCTTGTTTTTCACACTGGATCTTTCCTTTTTCTTTTACCCACCCTTCCTTCTGCCCATCAAATTGTGTGACCCTATGATTACCCCCTCCCCAACCTTTCCCCTCTACTTCTTACCCTCCCCCCCCTTGGATCCTTACACCTGTTTTAATAAGTTATATTTCTATTTCTACAATAGTGGAATAAAATTTTAGAATAAATTAAAAAAATCTTGAATGACAGAAGAATAAACAGTGCCTTTGAGTTTTGGTGTTGGAGAAGATTATTGAACATACCGTGGACTGCCAGCAGAACAAACACAAATTTATCCTGAAGAAACTGAAACCACAGGGCTCCTTGAAAGCAAGCGTGGTGAAACTCCATCTCACCATCTTTTGGGCATGCTGTCAGGAGGGGCCAGCTCTTGGAGAAGGACATCATGCTTGGAAGGGTCGAAGCTCAGCAGGAGAGAAGACCCTCAATGAGATTGATTGATAACAGTGACTGTTGTAATAGGATCAGGTTTATCAGAGATGGTAAGGATTCAGGATAGGGTGGTGTGCAGAGCCATTGTTCATTGTCTTGCTATGAGTTGTAGTTGACTTGATGGCACATAACAACAGCAATATGAGACCGAAAGGTCAATATTTGCCCCAAAACAAAGTAAGGCAAGTAAGAGCAGGAAAACCAGACAAATAGAAACAGAGATTCTAAGATAGGGGAAGAGTAGTGAAATACTGCTCTGCAATGCTATGCAAATGCTATTGCAATTTCTGTTGCAACCAGTGTCAAGGTACAATTTGGTCCATGTGAGTTACTGAATGGGAAACTAATTATCTATGTAAACTTTCTCTTAAAGCCCAATGAAATTTAAGAAATTTGCATATTTGTTGGCCAGTCTTTAAATCAGTATGGGTTACTCTGATCTGCAATAGTAGAAAACTCCTGTGCCAAAATAGCATAAAGCAAAGAAGCAATTAACCTTACTTTATTTGGAAAAAACTTTTGAGCCTATTAGACCCCAAAAATAATCTACAAAATCATAACACATAAATATAACACTAACATACAGTGTTCACAAACGCAGTTTATAGCTACGGTGGTGTCTTGATGCTGAGATGTAGAACCTGGGGAAAGAGACTGGTGATACAGTTCTTGCTGCTCATGGTTTTCAAATGCTGATAACTGGCTTCACTTTTTCTCTTTTTCAAAAAAAGCATAAAAATCCTCTTAAGATTTCTCAGCTCAGTGAGCTCTGATGGCCTAGTGGCAAGAAGCTACACTGCAATCCCAGAGGTACACGGTTTAAATCCTCCAGATGCTCTGCTGAAGAAGGAGGAACAGTTGCCTCCTGTACCAGTCAGATCCGTATACACATAAAAAAAAAATTTTTTTAAAAAAAATTCTCAGCTCACAAAAACCAAAACTAGTATGGGTTTTTGTAAAAACAAAGTGACATAATGTTTGAAAAGCAAAGGATACCTCTATAAAAAGATTGTAATTTTATTTTCCAAATCTTTAAAGCAAAATTTGATTTGAAAATTTTAAGCTTAAACTCTGAAGTAATTTGTGGAAATCAAAGGTTTAACAATGAATTTCTCAAATAAAAAATTTTTTTAGTGTTTCAGATTCTAATTCTGAAAATTTATTTTAGAATGACTGTTAACTGAAGGAGAGGGTAAGCAATTTGTTTATGGAATTTTTCTGGTGAATATATTCCTGCAGTGCATCTCTTTAGAGTAAAAGAATGTCCGAGTTGTTGTTATTATGTGTCATTTAGTTACCTGCAACTCATAGCTACCCTATGTACAATAGCTCTGAAGGCTGCCCTTTCCTGAGCCAGTCTCTCTCACTCTGACATACTACCCCAGTTACTCTATCAATCCATTTCATCTGGGGTCTTCCTCTCATGTGGTGTCCCTCCATCCTTCTGCATATGATGTTTTTCTCCAAGGACTGTTCCTCCTGGCCACGTGCACAAAGAATGTGTGACAGAGAATTAATTTATTTAAGAAATATTTTTAGGTGTAAATGGGACTTGCTGATTGGCCTGACAGTCATTCATCTTTCAGCTTAAAAAATTATTCATCTTTCAGTTTAAAGATCATAATAAAGTAAGCAGACTTTCAAAAGTGGCATTAACACACTGATAACAGAATAAGAATTTATTTTTATAAATTCTTATAAGAATTTTCCCTATATAAGAGAATCGTGCTTGGTAAAGTAGTTGTTGATTGCCTTTAAGTTGAGCATGACTAATAGTGACCCTATGAAAAAAAAAAAGGCCATAAACTTCTCTACAACTATTGACATTTATCAAAGTTCATAGCGTTTCTGGAGGCATGTTATTTAGGAAATGATCAGCAAAAAAATTCAAGACCATCAATGAGACAGATTGTCCAAGTTGCTACAACAGCGACTCAAACAAAGCAATGGTTGTGAGCATAATGGAGATCCAGGCAGTGTTTGTTTTATTGTTCATAGTGTTGTTACGTGAGTTGGAACCAACTCAGAGGCACCTAATTACAACCACAGGAATCATCTAAAGTTAGAGTCAACAAACTTTTTCTGGTAAAAGACCAGGTGGTAAAAATTTTAGACTTTGAAAGTGATGTGATCTTTGTTTCAAAGCTCTGCAATTACAACATGAAACAAATGAGAATGTGTTCCAAAAAAATTTTATATAGAATATTTAGAAAAGCAGATGATGGACTGTAACTTGTCAGTTTCTCATATAAAACTTTTTCCGAATAATTTTTATGTTATTTTTTAAACCAACATTCCTTATGTTTTCTCTGTTGATTTTAGATCCATTTTCATAAATGAAAACATGCCACACAAAATATTTTTCCATCAAATAGTGATTAAAACTTCCATCGCACCAACAGAGTGATAAATCTGTTTATGAACATCACCTGGAACATACTCTCTCAGAATTTCAACCTGTTCCATTTTACAGAGATTTTTAAGGCTCATGTTACTTCTTGACTAAATTGTGACATCTTATTATTATGTTTAATAATAACTCTCAGAGTACCTTTTTTCATAGTGGGAGAAATTGTTAAAGAAATTAATTTCTCAACTGAACAAAAATTATTCCTGAAGGATTTTCATTTCTTTTGCTATTCTGCTATCATAGATAGTTATTCTGAATTTATACCTATGGTGTTTCTTTTTCTTATATTCTATACAATCATTGACTATAATATTTGTGTAATTTACCAGACAACCCATTTGAAAAATAATTTAAATGAATGTGATATTTTAGTTAAATTAACACTAGTGGATTTTCCAGGTTTTCAACTTAACTGTGATTACCATGTACATATTTTTACCTATTTTATTATAAAATATACACATACGGGGAATTACTTGAAACAGTTTTACAGTCTTAAATTATTACAGTGCAAACATCAGTGGAACTTCCGTGCAGGACATGAAACAGAGCATTATTAGCAGCCCAGGGGCCTCTATGTGGCCCTTTCTATTTGTAACTCCTTTACTCTGGGATAATCATACAGAGAACTTTCTCTGGTGGCAGTGCCTCTCTGGCAGCTCCACAAGAGGAAAATGGGCAGTCTCTTCCATTTGATTTATAGACTTTTAAATACCCGCTGAAGGTCAGGAGTCAGTTCAGCTCAATGACAATGAGTGACGTTAAATGTAGTCAGAGTTCTGGGTTTTCCAGTAGTCATATCTTTGTATTTCTTTAGAGTTTTAGTATTGAAGTGTATACTCTAAATAGCAAAATTTAATTGTTTTTTTTAAAAAAAATTTAATTGTTTTTAAATTACATTATAGGAAAAAGCAGACAATCTTTTTTTTATATGACTCATTTTTATAATGGATAAATTTTAGTCATTCAGCTATAAAAATGGCCCAAATAGATTGAAGAAATGGGATAATGAGCTGTATGCAACACTAGTTTCAGTAATACTGCTTCTCCTGTCCTAACATGTTGAGGGTGTCATCTGCCCATCTTTTAACCACATTTTCTACCATACAGGATACCCAATTGCCTAAAAATAATTATGGTGGATGATTAAGACCAATGTACTTGAACTTGAAAATAGATTTCTTAATGTTTCTATAAAATCTTATAACCATTGCTATTGAGTTAGTTCTGACCATAGAGACCCTGTTGGACAGTGTATAATGTCCCATAGCATTTCCAAAGCAGTAAACTTTTACAGAAACAGATTGCCTCATCTTTTCCTCACAGAATGATTGGTGGATTTAAACTGCTGACCTTTTGGAAAGCAGCCAGTGTTAAATACCCTATACTACCAGCTCCTTGTAACATCTTATAGTGACTTTGAAATTTTATGAGATTTTATTTACTTTGCTGTATTTCCTAAAGATTTTAATAAATAGTGAATACTAACATATATTGCATAAAGGAATACTTTTACACATACATATGTATATAGAGACTTGTGTGTCTACCTAATAGAAATACTTTAATTAACAAAAATATTTGATTTTATAGAAATAATACTTTCTTTTTCAGGTGAAACTTCCACCCATGATGGAAATCATAACTGCTGAACAGCTGATGGAATATTTAGGTTAGTGTTGCAAAACAGATGATTTTATATATATTTCAAAAGAAAAGTTTTAAAGCTAATAATCTATTATAAAATATCACCATCTAAGGTGCTATTATTTAACCTATTTTAAAATTATAATTTTTACTGTCTTAACTAAATTTTTTTTTGACATATTACTGTTCTTATTCTTTCTGACCAGTGTTAAAATTCTATAATGTAAAAAAAATGAGACTGGAGAACATCTAGAAACAATAAAATAGATGTTAATTTCCACACATTATGAATGATAATGGCACAGAAACTCTGGCATTGCATTTGGAAGGTACTCCAAAATATGAGTAAACAGTGCAATTCAAAATATGATTCACAAACCTATGTCAGTGTATAAAATTTTAATTACCAGAGTGAAATGACATAGATGGTAGCTTGCTCTGGGTGGTATAAATGGTTACTTGCTTAATGACTAGCCAAGAGGCTGGTGGTTTGAACAGACCTAGGCACCTTGGAAAGGCAGACCTAAGGATCTGCTCCATTTCTAAGCAATTGAATAGTTGAGGTGAAATTTTTATCATAGCAAAATTTTCTTGATGAAGGAAACAGTGTAATGACTTATTCATGTATGTGGTTTTAATTTCAAAACACCAATAATACACAATTTGCAGACTAGACTGACTACATTAAGTAGAACTATTTTAAAGCATAAGTAATTGTACATAACACTGTTGTCTTTTTACAGTTTAGAAAGGTATATATATATATGTCATTGCCACATAGGAAATTTTAATCCATGTTTTTATGTTATAATATTTTCAGTAATTGATTTTTTATTTAAAGCAATCTTATTAGTTTGTCTTTGCCAACTAAATCATGAATTATTTTGTTAGCTACGTACATAGGTTTATGTAAGTAAATGAAATTATAGATTTTAAAAGATAACTTTTTTGATGTGATAAACATCACTGGCTAGAGATTTTTATAGATAAAGAAGAGTTATTTTGATATGCAAAATAGGCTTTCTTTTTTTAGTGTGCTTTTCCCTCTAGGGTAGCAGTTTTTACGTAAACAGTTTCTATACAAATTATTTCAGGGCTTGTCCAGGATTTAAATCTAGGGCCTCTCACACCCAAACAAGAGTGAAATCCCTAGACCAACAGGCTGCTGACATTTCAACAAATGTAGCTATGGATATACTCACCAAGTTTTGCCAAGAAATCTGGAGGACAATTACCTCATCAACTGACTTTAAGAGATCCATATTTATTTCCATTTCCAAAAAAGGTGTTCGAACAGAATGTGGAAATTATCAAAAAATATCACTAATATCACATGCAAGCAAAATCTTGAGGCTATGGCACTGGGGATATTATTGCTGATATTAGATGGATCATGGCTGAAAGTAGAGAGTACTGGAAGAATGTCTATTTGTGTTTCATCAATTATGCAAAGGCATTTGACTGAGTGGATCACAACAACAAATTGTAGCTAATGTTGAGAAGAATGGGAGTCCCAGAACACGCGATTGTGCTCATGTGAAACCTAGACCCAGACTAGGAAGCGGTAGACTGAACACAACAAAGGAACACTGCATGGTTCAAAATCAAGAAAGGAGTGCATCAGGAATATAGCCTTTCTCTATACCTTATTAATCTATATGCAGAATAGATCATTTGGGAGTCTGAACTTCATGAAGAATAGTGTGGCATCAGGACTGGAGGAAGACTCATTAACAACTTCTGTTATGCAGATGATACTTGCTGAAATTGAGGAGAACTTGAATTGTTTGCTGCAGAAGGTCAAAGGCTATACAGCCTTCAATATGGATTGCATCTCAACATCTGGAAAACAAAGATCCCCACAACCAGGCCAATAGGCAGTATCATGATAAATGCAGAAAGGATTAAGATTGTTAATGATTTCATCTTACTTGGATCTTGGTACCAGCAATCAGGAAATCTAAAGATGTGTTACATTGGGAAAATCTGCTGTCAAGGATCCCTCCAGAGTGCTAAAGAGCAATGATGTCAGTTTAGATACTAAGGTGCACCTAATCCAGGCTATAGTCTTCACAGTTGCTTCCTATGCATCTGAGAGCTAGACAGTGACTAAGGATGATAAAAGGAGAATCGATGCCTTTGAGTTGTGGTGTTGGAAAAAAAGTATTAAGCATACCATGAAATGCCAAGAGAATAAATGGTCTGTCCTGATGAGGGTGAAACCAATTTGCTCTTTGGAGGCAAAGATTTTGAAGCTCTAGCTCACATACTATGGGAATGTCACCAGGAGGGACCAGGGAGAAGGACATGCTTGGAAAGGTTGAGGTTCAGTGGAGAAGAGGAAAACCCTGGCTGAGATGGATTGACACAGTGACTGTGGCAGTGAGGTCAAGTCAGAGATGGTTAAGTTGGCTCAGAACAGGGCACGGTTCAGAGCCATCGTTCATAGGGTCGCTGTGAATCATAGTTGATTTGACAGCACGCAACGCCATCTTCACAAATTATTTAGTGTTGGGGAGCTCTGGTGGCCTAGTGGCAAGGAGCTGCAACTACAATCCCAGAGGCTCACAGTTCGAATCCACCAGATGCTCTGCCAGGAAAGGAGGGACAGTCTCCTCCTGTACCAGTCAGATCTGATTTGACGGTACACTCACACAAAAATTAAAAGCAAACAAACAAACAAAAAAATATTTATTTAGTGTCATTGATTGCATTTTTCACAGTGTGTCAACATTTTCAGTTCCATTCTGGTTCTATTTCTAGCAGTCCTGTTTGCCTGCTTCCTTACTTTCTCATATTTGCTTTAGGATTATTGTTGATCATTTGATCTTATGTAGATGATATTCATTGAGTCGCTTTGTTATTTAGTTTGAAAGGTATCCTTGGTGATAGTTTCATTTCAAGGTTTAAAGAATGTCTCAAAAGTGTTCATCTCAAGGACTCTCTCAGTCTCAACTAGTTAGTAAATCTGTATTAGGAAATTTCTATTCCACATTTTTCTCTCATTCTGATGGTATTCATCTGTTATGACCTTGATCAGAATAGTCAGTAATGGTAGCCAGGCACAATAGCATAGTGATTCTTAAAGACTAAATTATATTTCATGAGGAAGACAGAAGTGTGGTTGATGGGTTTTGAATATTCATTCTAACTATTAAGGAGTGTTGTGGGTGGGAAAAGATTGGGGAAGTGGGGGAGTAGGAAATTAGGTCAGAGAAGAATTGTGGGTCAGGATTTAGGGCACTGTAGGCTATTTTAATGACTTTGACTTTTGTTGTGAGTGAGCTGGGAAATCATTAGAGAGTTTGAAGAGAGAACTGACATAATATGGCTTTGAGTTTAGCAAGAACTCTTTGGTCATGCTATTGAAAATTAGGCCTTAGAAGGCTAAGGACAGAATCAAAGAAACCGTTTAAGAATCTTTTGGAACATAATAAAGATGATGATGATGACTTCACACAGGGTAATAGTAGTAATAGTTGTGAGAAGTGATATTCTGAGAGAATTAACTGGTTAATTGGATGTTGAGCAAGTGGACTTAAGGGGACACTGTGAAATTTTGACCGAAGCAATTGGAAGGATAGAGTTACAGTCAACTGAAACAGGAAAAACAGGGATGACTTTAAGGAAGACTATCAGGAAATTGTGTTTTAGATGTTTGTTGACATCCAACAAGGATGTCCACAAGGCAGTAGGATCTATAAATCTAAAGTTCAAAGGAGCGGTAGATTTTGTACACTAAAACTTTCTATGATGGCAGAAATGTTCTACGTCTGTGCTATTGAGAGAGCTCTGGTTAGTGTTAAGAAGTTACACTGCCGCCCTAAGGCACGTAATTTGAATCCAGCAGCTTGGGGAGAAAGATGGGAAATCTCTTCATACATACAGCCCTTGAACACTTAAAATGTGACTGAGGAACTAAATTTTTCAATTTAATTTAAATTAACTTAAGTTTATATAACCACATATTGCTAGTGGCTACTGTATTGTAAAGTATAGGTTTAGTCTGTAAATACACATCTGAGAGCAGACAGTGCTTGTGTATAAGTGGTTATAGAGCCTAAGTGTGGATAAGATCACAAAGAGAAATGAATATAGATAGGGAAGGGCAGAAGTCAGTGGACTGAGTTCAAAGCATTGCCAGTGGTTATAAAGCTGGGAGATGAGGAAAAAACAGGAATGCCTATCCAGACAGAAGAAAAACAGGAAAGTGTGATTTCCTGAAGTCCATATGTAGGAAATGGTTTACTAAAGAGTAAGAGATTAACTGGATCAAACACTATTAATACTTCAAATACAATGAAAACTGAAAATTGTCATTGATTCAGCAACAAGGAGATCATTGATAATATTTACAATTGCATAGGATATAAACCTGACTGGAGTAAGTACAAGAAGAAAATTGGAAAACCTTACACTTAACCAGTAAGAATGTTTAAAAAAGTATGAAACTACTTTGGTATACTCTCTGGCAGTTCCTCAAAAGGTTAAGCATAGCATTACCATATGACTGCAATTTTTCTCCTAGGTATATACCAAGAGAAATGAAGATACATGTCTACTGTAATGCATTCCTTAACAATCAGTCTGTTTCCTCCCTAAATCCCTCCCCAGCCACATGCATTCATTAATCTATATTGTTTCTGTAAATTTGCCTATTTTGATTAAGTCATATAAATGGAGTCATAAAACATTTGTTCTTTCATTACTTGGCTTCTTTCTCATGTTTCCAAGGTTCATTAATTTTACAGCACATATTAGTATTGTGTTCCCTTTTATGGATGAATAATAATCCATTATAAAGAAATACAACAATTTGTTCATCCTTTCACCAGTTGATGGGCATACTTGGTGGCACCTGACAACAATAACACCACCCCAATCAAATGCTGTTGCTTAGAAAATAAAACACAGATAGACACTCTTCTGATATTTTTTTGCTTTCAGTCAGGGTGCATCTGACATCAGCAATGTTTTCCCTCTTCAAAATCCAACTTGAACTTCTGGCATTTCACTAATTATATAGTAGAATTTTAGCCAGTTTTGGATGATTTTCAGCAGTATTTTGCTT